ATGCTCATGAGGCTTTTGCCAAACCAGAGCTTTATTACACTATTGGTAGGAATATGTGAGCTTGTTCAACAACTCTGGAAAGAAGTATGGAGGTTCCTTAAATAAATAAAGAATACCCTATGGCCCAGCAATCCCACTGCTGGGAATTTATCCAATAGAACACAAGTACGGCTCTACATTTTTGTTAAAGAAGTTGAGTTTAGCCGGGCGCTGGTGGCTCACGCCTGTAATCCTAGCTACTCAGGAGGCTGAGATCTGAGGATCGTGGTTCAAAGCCAGCCCAGGCAGGAGAGACCATGAGACTCCTATCTCCAATAAACCACCAGAAAACCAGAAGTGGCGCTGTAGCTCAAGTGGTAGAGCGCTTGCCTTGAGCTGAAGAGCTGAGGGACAGCGCCCAGGCCCAGAGTTCAAGTCCCACGACCGACAAAAAAAAAGAAAGAAGTTGAGTTTAATGAATGGGACAGTGTTCAGGGTTATTTGTGCAGACCATTTGTTTATATAAGACATGATTAAGGAATAAGATTGAAATCTCATGAAAATAGGTAGTCAATGATAAAAGACAGTAAGAGGAAGAGGGAGGGAGAGAAGGTAAGAAGAAAGGAAAGAAAAGAAGGCATTGAGTCGGGTACCTGTGGCTCATGCCTGTAATCCTAGCTACGCAGGAGCCAGAGATCTGAGGATCACGATTCAAAGCCAACCCTGGCAGGAAAGTCTGTGAGACTCTTCAATAAACCACTGGAAAACTGGAAGTGGTGCGGTGGCTTAAGTGTAGAGCACTGGCCTTGAGCTGAAGAGCGCAGGGACAGCGCCCAGCCCAGAGTTCAAGCCCCATGATGGACAGAAAAGAGAAAAAAGAAGGGATCAAGTAGGTCACACAAAAACTGCTTATATAAGCTGGGCCTGTTGACAATGCCTGTTGTGGCAGTTGAGGCTGAGGTGTACTGGATTATATAGCAAACCCTGTTTCAAACAAACATGCCAGCCCACTAGATTCACTGGTAGATAATTGAGTGTCATGAAAAGCAGTTTTGTTCATTTCTAAATCCCAAACTAGTTACTTCTACCTGTAGAAATAAGAATTAGTGTAGTGATTTTATTAGTTTTGTTTCCTTGATTTTGCATATGTATGTAGGTGGCAGGGGGAATTGGCTATAGGAGACTCTTCCTTAAACAGCAAAATATATGGGCTGGGAAGGTGGCTCAGTGGTAGAGTGCTTGCCTTGCATGCCTGAGGCCCTGGGTTTGATTCCTTAGTACCACATACGTAGAAAAGGCCAGAAGTGGCACTGTGGCTCAAGTGGTAGAGCGACAGCCTTGAGTTGAGTTGCTGAGGGACAGTGCCCAGGCTCAGAGTTCAGGCCCCACGACCTACAAAGAAAAAAAAAAGGCACCAGTGGCTCATGCCTATAATCCAGCTACTTCAGAAGCTGAGATCTGAGGATTGAAGTTCAAAGCTAGCTTTGGTAAGAAAGCACATGAGACTTTTTTTGCATGTGTGTGGTGGTGGTAGGGCTTGAACTCAGAGCCTTGGCAATGTCCCTGAGGTAGTCCCGCTCAAGGCTAGTGCTCTACCACTTTGAACCACAGTGCTGCTTCTCATTTGGGGGTGTTTAACTGGAGATAACCGCTATCCTAATAGCTTTCTGAGTAGCTAGGATTACAGGTGTGAGCCACTGCACCTCGGCCTGTGAGACTCTTGGCTCCAATTTACTACCACAAAGCCAGAAGGAGAGTTCCATTCCTTTTGCTCAAGGTGTACAGTGCTATCCTTGAGCAAAAGAAGCTCAGGGACAGAACCCCCAAAACAGGCAGGGGGTGGGGGTGGAGAAAAGAAAAGATGAAAAGAAAAGCAAAATATAGAGCCATGTCTTTAATACTAACTACCCAGAAAAATGAGACCTAGATATTTGCTGTGTGATGGGATCCTAGGCAGAAAATAACCAGCAAAATTCTGGTCTGCAGGCATCCTTCAAGTGGTAGAGTACCAGCTCAAGCAAGATCAGGAGTCATAAGGTCTTCCAAACTGGAACCAGTTTGGAATCTGTTAACCAACCTCCTTAAAAACAATACACAGATTTGGGATGTAGCTAAATGGTAAAGTTCTTGAAAGGGGCCCTGTATTTAATCCCTGCACTGTAGATACAGACCCCCAAAATAATTTTGTCCTGAAGCACTTGTCTAAATTATAACCTTTCTGACATGTTTAGTAGTAATTTAAATTTGTTTGTTAGTCTTGTTCAGCATATTAAACCATTTCGCGCAAGTGGCGCTGTGGCTAAAGTGATAGAGCGCTAGCCATGAGCAAAAGAAGTTCAGAGAAGAACAAAGAAGGAAAAAGACTAGTAAGCCACTTTGTTTTAGCTTAGCGAATACTGTTATTTCATTGGTATTAATGTCTTTTTGAATTGAATTCAGTGCATAGGTAACATTACAGGGTGTGGCTCGTGCTTAGCATTTGTTAGGAGGAAATGGTTACTCTCTTTCTTGACTTTCATTTTATTTGAAACAAATTGACTAATAACAGTTTGCCATTTATTATTATGTGTGTGTTTGAGCAAGTGTGTACACTTGAGTTTGTTTTTGCTCCTGCATGAGTGCGTACACCTGTGTTGTGCCAGTACTGGCCTTGAACTTAGGGCCAGGGCTGAGTTCAAAAGCCCTTTAGCTTTTTGCTTAAGGCCAATACCGTGCCATTTGAACCACAGTTCTACTTCTGGCTTTTTGGTGGTTAGTTGGAGATGAGTCTCATGTTTTTCTGCCCTCGCTGGCTTTGGACTACAGTCCTCATGTCTCAGCCTCCTGAGTAACTAGGATCAAAGGTTTGAGCCACTCAGGACCAGCACAAATATTTTTGTGTTGAAGTTTAACCACATACTAAAAATAACAAAGTTTATCCAGGCACCAGTGACTTTACTCCTGTAATCTTAGCTACTCAGGAGGCTGAGATCTGAGGATCTTGGTTTGAAGCCAGCCTAAAAGGCAAATCCTTGAGATACTTATCTCTAATTAAGTGGGAATAAGCTGACAGTAGAGGACCGAGTCACGTTGTAGCAGGCCATCGTTGATCAGTAAAGCTGATCCATGTTAGAGCCTTGAGTTCAAGTCTTCATTTACCAGCACAAAAGTTTTAAATAAAAATAAGTGATTGGTTACTGGAAAGTGAAATGTGAGAGAGATTATTGAGAAACATGCATGAAGACACTGGCAGAAAACAAGAAGAAAGCGGTATGTGGAGAGGAGTAGAGATGTAGGCTAGTCTCAGGTTAAGGAGTCAACATTGTAGACATAAAGAGAATGAGCTGAGGATGATGGTGCACAACTGTAATCTCAGCATTGGAAGGCAGAGGCAGAGGGAGGAGGATCCCAATTTCATTGTCATTGTAAGCCATAGAGTGAGACTCAAGAAAACAAGCCGGGCGCCGGTGGCTCACGTCTGTAATCCTAGCTACTCAGGAGGCTGAGATCTGAGGATTGTGGTTCAAAGCCAGCCCGGGCAGGAAAGTCCGTGACACTCTTATCTCCAATAAAACCACTAGAAAACCAGAAGTAGCGCTGTGGCTCAAGCAGTAGAGCTCTCGCTTTGAGCTGAAGAGCTGAGGGACAGTGTCCAAGCCCAGAGTTCAAGCCCCATGACCGACAAAACAACAACAATCATCACATAAGTGGTTCATACCTGTAATTGTAACTTAAGTATAGAGATCAGCAGGATAGTTTTTTTGTTTTTGTCAGTTGTGGGGTCTGAACTCTAGGCCTTGGTGCTGTCCCTCAGCTCTTCAGATCAAGGCTAGCACCCTACCACCTCAGTCACAGTGTCACTTCCGGCTTTTTCTGCTTATGTGTTGCTGAGGAATCGAACCCAGGGCCTCATGCATGCAAGGCCAAGCACTCTACCACTGAGCCAACTTTGCCTTTAGGATGGTATTTTGAAGTGAGTGTAGGCAAAAAAAACCTGACAAGACCCCCAACTCAACCAGTAGCAGGGCATGTTGATGCTCTTGTCACTCCTGCTACCTGCAAGATTGAGATTTTGATGATCTCCAGGCCAGTGTAAAGCCAGAAAAAGAAGCAAGTTTGTGAGACCCTAAAAACTAAATATCTGGATGGAGTGCCTAAAACAATAAGTATAAATAGGATTTTATTCCAGGCCCACCTGAATAAAAAGTAATGTGGGCAAAATGGGGTATGAGGTATAGCTCAACTTAGAGATATCTTTTTTTTTTTCCTTAGAGATGTATTAAGTTTGAAGACCTACTTCAAACCCCAGTGTTGTAATTAACCCTATAAAGGGAAAAACAGTTTTGAGAGACCATTAAAGGACCATAGGCAGTGGAGAGAGAAACAGACATATTGAAATTAGTAAGATTATTAAAGCTGGGCACCAGTGGCATGTAATCCTAGCTACTCAGGAGGTTGAGATCTGAGAATTGCGGTTCAAAGCCAAGCCTGGGCAGGAAAGTCCATGAGACGCTTATCTCCAATTAACTACCAGAAAACCGGAAGTGGCGCTGTGGCTCAATTGGTAGAGTGCTAGCCTTGAGCTGAAGAACACAAGGATAGCACCCAGGCCCAGAGTTGAATTCCCACAACTGACAACAAATAAACAAAAAACCTCCCAGCTTTGTCTGTTCAGGTTTGATTACCCTGGCTGGCTTTAGACCTTGATCCACTGGCAATTGGCTTGATGACAGATTTTGAAACTAATTTAAAAATCATGTCTTCTAGTTATTTCTTTAAAATACATGTTAAAATATGTTGTACAATTTAAATGGCTTTATTGTCTTTCCATAAATATATATAATATACTTAGATCAGGATCACTTCCTCTATTACTGCTTTATCACTTTAACCCCTCCCCACACACACACCTTTTAAATCTTTCTTAGAATTTTTTTCCTTTTGTTGAACTAGTTTTTATTCCATAATGTTTTCATAGAGTTAGCCTGTCACTTCTTGGTTTATTCTATTATTTAAAAGTTCAAATGTCATTTTTATTCTAGGTCCGGTTTATCACTAAAATATGGCATCCTAATATTAGTTCCGTCACAGGAGCTATTTGTTTGGATATCCTGAAAGACCAATGGTAAGAGATTTTGAAAGTATTTTCTTCCCTCTCTCATATGAATATCAAGGTTTTAAGAAAATGAAAGGTATAATTGTACCAAAACATAAGGAAAAGTTGTATTTTATCTTTTGGGGGTAATAAGATTCCTTCTCCTTCCCTCCCCTCCCCACCCCTCCCCCTCCAGGCTAGCATTCTACCACTTGTGCCACAACTCTGCTTCTTTCAGACTTTTTGGTAGTTTATTGGAGATAAGAGTTTCATGGATTTTCTTTTTTGCCCGTCTTGGAGCTTGAACTCAGGGCCTGGGCACTGTCCCTGAAATTTTCTGGCTCAAGGCTGACAGTCACTTAAGCCAGAGCTCCACTTTTGCTCCTCCTTTTTGCTGAGTAGCTAGGATTATAGGCATGAGACAAAACATATATTTTGAAAAGGCTCTAGATACATGGTTCAAGTGGTATAGCATCTAGTTGAGGTCAAGTTCAAGCTCTAGTATCACAATAATTTAAAAACTCTACCACTTGAGCCACAGCTTCTAGCTTTTTATGTGTATGTGTTATTGAGGAATTAAACACAGGGCTTTTTGCATGCTAGGCAATGATAATTCCACCACTAAGCCACATTCCCAGACTCCCATGGATTCTTCTGCCCAAGCTGGCTTCTCAGTGCCCCCTCCCCTCTAAGTAGTTAGGATTACAGGTGTGAGCTACACCAGTTCTTGGCTAACATTTCTTAATATATCTTAAGTACATCATCAAACATGTATTATAATTGAGATAATCTCTACCTGAATTTATGGACACTTTTAGAATAATGACTGGTGCTAGTTTTACTTTTTAAAAAATTCTTGTTTGCTGGGCACTCTTGGCTCACGCCTCTAAGCCTTGCGACTCATGAGACTGAAATCTGAGAATCACAGTTCAGAGTCATCCTGAGCGGAAAAGTCGGAGACACTGTTATCTCTTCCCCCACCTTCCACTGAGTCAGAGACTTGAATTCAGGGCCTGCGCAATTTCCCTGAGCTTTTTTACTCAAAGTTAGTTCTCTGCCACTTTACCTACACCTTCACTTTTGTAGTTGGCTTGGAACTGTGATCCTTAGATCTCAGCCAGCTAAGTAGCTAGGATTACAGGTGTGAGCCTCCAGAGCTCTGGCCTGGTTTCATCTTTTAATAAGGTTCTTACATTGTAACCCCTCAAATTCAAATCCTAGTTCTTCCATTTGTTGAGTTCTGTAGTCATGAGCAAATTAGCTGAATTCTTTGTTTCCTTAGTTGTGAAAATGAACTGTATACTATGTTACAAGCATGAGGGGAATTAAGAACTTCTTTTATGTTTCTGGCATATTCTGAAATTGAGTAAGTTTTGTAAGAAATGGGGTAGGATAATAAGGTAAAAACTATTAATTAGGTCTAAGCTGGCTTTCTAATCTCAAAGTCATATTTTACTATGGGAATTTTTAAATTATTAATTGTGATACTAGAGATTGAACTTGACCTCAACTAGATACTATACCACTTGAGCCATGTAGCTAGAGCTTTTTCAAAATACATGTTTTGTCTCATGCCTATAATCCTAGCTACTCAGGAGTCTTGAGTTTTGAGGAACAAAAAGCCGAAGTGAAGTTGTAGCTTAAATGACTGTCAGCCTTGAGCCAGAAAAATTCAGGGACAGCACGCAGGCCCTATGTTGAAGCCCTAGTATTGACCCCCCAAAAATCCATGAGCTGGGAATGTTGCTTAGTGGTAGAGTGCTTGCCTGGCATGCATGAAGAAGCCTTGGGTTTGATTCCTCATAAAGAGAAAAAGCTGGGAGTGGTGGTGTGGCTCAAGTGGTAAGAATGCTAGCCTTGAGCCAGAGAAGCTCAAGTGTCTAGGTCCTGAGTTCAAGCCCCAGTACTGACAAATAAAAAATCCAAACTGCTGTTTCTTTACATAATCTTTCTTATCTAATCTATTCTCAAATTCATCACTGCAGCTTCTTACACTGAAACTCATATGATACTCGTTTTCTTTTTCCTAGTTTCTGTACCTTGTCTACAAGTCAGTTGGGGAAACTCCCAAAAATCTGACCAGCAGGTTTACTACCCATTGATCCAAACTATATATAACCTTTTCTCTAGATAGCCAGTCACCTCCCTATTTACGACTTGGTTTATTTAGGCTATTTTCAGCAGTAATACTTACATTTATTAATTATAATCTAAGCAGTATTGATGTACTAAAGGTAGATCTCATTCTGTTGACTCTCTGAGATTATAAGCATGAGCAAACAGAACCTTGCTTTATTTCAAATGGGTTTTATTTTGATGTAGTTGTAGTCTTGTTTCTCATTAAATACCATATTCAAGGCCAGGCTCACTCGTGAAGGCCTAGCTACTCAGGAGGCTGAGATCTTAGGATCCAGGTTCAAAGCCACCTGAGTCAGGAAAATCAGTGAGATTCTTATTTCCAATTAACTACCAGAAAACCAGAAGTGGTGCTCTGTGACTCAAGCGTAGAGCCTTCGCCTTGAGCTGAAGAACTGAGGGAGAGTGACCAGGACCAGAGGTCAAGCCCCACAACTAACCAAAAAGTAAAAGTAAAAAATTTTTTTAAAAAATATATAAATATTCAACAAATGATTCTAGTTTACATTGTTTGTTTCCTTCTAGTTTCAGCTTATAGATTTGGACCTTTGTTCCATTTTGATTTTTTTTTTTTCTGGTCATGGGGTTTGAACTCTGGGCCTGGGTGCTGTCCCTGAGCTCATCAGCTCAAGGTGAGCGGTTTACCACTTGAGCCACAGCACCACTTCTGATTTTCTGGTGGTTAATTGGAGATAAGAGTCTTGTGGAACTGGGAGCTGGTGGCTCATGCCTGTAATCCTAGCTACTTTAAAGTAGGAGGCTGAGATCTGAGGATCACGGTTCAAATCCAGCCCAGGCAGGAAATTCCATGAGACTGTTATCTCCAGAAAACTGGAAGTGGTGCTGTGGCTCAAGTGGTAGAGAGCCAGCATTGTGCTGAGGAGCTGAGGGACAGCGCTCACGCCCAGAGTTCAAGCCCCACGACTGACAAAAAAGATACAACACCCATCATGCCCTTGGATTCTTTCATTACTAGACAGTTGCTCTACCAACTGAGCCATGCCATGCCCTCTACCCATTCCTTTACTTTGTAGAAATGAGAATCCATTCTTGGTGTGTAGATACTATTTGTAGTCATCAATGATAATGACAAGAAAATTAACAGCAACAATAAGAAAAAAAAGGACTTTTTCAAGATAGGATGATTTGAATTATTTATGAAACACGACTTTTTTTTTAAACCTTTTAAAAAATTATTATTGTCTGGGCCTTGGTGGCTTATGCCTGGAATCCTAGCTAGTTAGGAGGCTGAGATCTGAGGATCACGGTTCAAAGCCAGCCTGGGCAGGGAAGTCCGTGAGACTCTTATCTCCAATTAATCACCAGAAACCGGAAGTGGTGCTGTGGTTCAAGTGGTAGAGTGCTAGCCTTGAGCTGAAAAGCTGAGGGACAGCGCCCAGGCCCCCAGAGTTTAAACCCTATGACTGAAAAATATTATTATAAATGTATATAGAGGACCTCCAGTTATGTAAGTCAGGTAATGACATTTCTTTCTGGAGGATTAAATTTATTGTTCGTAAGGTGTGTTGTACCAAGAGGCATTATTACTTAAAAGACTGAATTTTTAAAACTAAAAGGCAATCAAATATAAATATGTATCTTAGCTACATAATTAATGTAGATAACTTTATCTCCAGTAGGTTGTTATGCATCATTTTGTGTTTGTCATCTTTTTTTTTTGGTCGGTTGTGGGCATTGAACCCTAGGCCTGAGCTCTGTCCCTCAGCTCTTCAGCTCAAGGCTAGCGCTCTACCACTTGAGCCACAGCACCACTTTCAGCTTTTTTTGTTTATGTGGTGCTGAGGAATCGAACCCAAGGCCTCATGAATGTAAGGCAAGCACTCTGCCACTGAGCCACCTTCCCAGTCTGTGTTTGTCATCTTAAAGTGGGCTATTTCCCTATTTTGAAATGTAGGGCAGCAGCAATGACTCTCCGCACTGTATTACTGTCATTACAAGCACTGCTGGCAGCTGCAGAGCCGGATGATCCACAAGACGCTGTAGTAGCAAATCAGGTAAGATTGCTTTCAAAAGACTTCTCATGTATGTTCTGTATATCAGTGGCTTGCTATGTTAACATGTGAGCACACTCTCTGTTGAAAGTAAGTCTGGAAAGGGTTTCTTCTTTTTTAGTAAGATTATGTTGTTAGAAGTAATAGTATTGGTGTATTGATTTTTGTCAATCATAGGAATGGAACTCAGGGCCTGGGCGCTGTTACTGAGCCTTTCCGCTCAAGGCTGGTGCTATCATACTTTCAGCCACAGATCCACGACCCATAAGAGTCTCATGGACATTTCCTGTATGGGCTGGCTTTGAATTCTGATCCTCAAAATCTAAACCTCTTGAATAACTAGGATTACAGGCAGGTCCCACTGCACCAGGCATACTTTTTTTTTTTTTCCGGTTGGTCGTGGGCCTTTAACTCTGGGCTTAGGCGCTGTTCTTCAGCTCTTCAGCTTAAGGCGAGCATTCTACCATTTGAACTACAGCGCCACTTGCAGTTTTCTGGTGGTTTATTGGAGATAAGAGTTTCCCGGACTTTCCTGCCTGGGCTGGCTTTGAACCGTGATCCTCAGATGTCAGCCTCCTGAGTAGCTAGGATTACAGGCATGAGCCACCAGCGCCGGGCCTGGGCATAATTTTTAATATTATAGTTTAATTTGGGACATGGTACATGATATTTTCCTCTTGGCAAACTGATTCTTTAATGTTTTAATTTATATATTATATATTATTTATATATTATAATATATTAATTTAATTTATATATTCCTTTCCCTGGAAATTATGTTCACACACACATTTGGTAATATGTTCTATTTGTATAGCAAATAGAATTATCACTTCATATTTTATGTATGTATTCGTATTTGAATTCAGAGTTGAACTCAAATTTGATTTCAGTTTATCCTTTTAGTTTCTCTCAGGTTAAGGTTTAACTTAAGGTTCCTTTTAGTATGTGAAATAGTTAACTAGTTTTACATATTTCCTTATTGTGAATTCATTGCAAACCTGGATAATTTTGTGGTGGTCTTGAGACTTTCACTCAGGGCATGGGTATTGTCTCTTAGTTTTTGTGGTGAAGCCACTGAATACATTATTTTTATTGTAATAGGATTCCCTTCTCCCACTTTAAAAACATGAGTATATATTAATTTACAAAGTAAGAGGTTACCCTGACGTTTCATACAACGTATTATCACAGTCCCTCCCCATTACAAAGTAAGAGGTTACGCTGACGTTTCATACAATGTGTTATCATAGTCCCTCCCCATTACAAAGTAAGAGGTTACGCTGACGTTTCATACAATGTGTTATCATAGTCCCTCCCCATTACAAAGTAAGAGGTTACGCTGACGTTTCATACAATGTGTTATCACAGTCCCTCCCCATTACAAAGTAAGAGGTTACGCTGACGTTTCATACAATGTATTATCATAGTCCCTCCCCAGTACATCGTCCACTTGTTCCTCCTACTTTCATGATAGTGTTTGTGTTTTTCAAGTTCCGGGCCTTGAACCCAGGGCCTGGGCACTGTCCCTGAGCCTAAGCTCAAGGTTAGCACTGTTGCGCCTCAGTGCCACTTTCAGCTTTTTCTGAATAGTTTATTGGAGATAAGAATCTCACAGACTTTTCTGCCAAGGCTGGCTCAGAACCATAATCCTCAGATCTCAGCCTCCTGAATAGCTAGGATTACAGGCATGAGCCACTGGCACTGGTACCTAGCTTGAAATATATATATATATATATTTTTTTTTTTAATTTTTTGTCAGTCGTGGGGCTTGAACTCTGGGCTTGGGTGCTGTCCTTGTGCTCTTCAGCTCAAGGCGAGCGCTCTACCGCTTGAGCCACAGCGCCCCTTCCGGTTTTTAGCAGTTTATTGGAGATTAGAATCTCATGAACTTTCCTGCCCGGGCTGGCTTTGAACCACGATCCTCAGATCTCAGCCTCCTGAGTAGCTAGGATTACAGGCGTGAGCCACTGGCGCCCGGCTTTGAAATATATCTTGATACATTACTTAGTACTAGTTTTTGGCTTAGAGAGTCAAATAGATTAATTTATTTTCTTTTATCACAACCAAAATCTTGGATGACATTCCCCTTAATGCAGGCACTAGGAAGTGAGTTATATTTTATTCTTTTTTTTTTTTTTTTGACATGTGAGGGTGTTGCATATTGAACCCAGTGCCCTGGTGCTTCGTAAGCACATACTATGTCTGAGCCACACCTCACATCTTTAATGTGAATTTACTTTATTTGGTAAGCAGGCTTATTAGACAATTATAAATGGAGCTACCATATTGAGTATTACAACTATTATGCCAATTTTTCCCTCTTCCATACAGTACAAACAGAATCCTGAAATGTTCAAACAAACAGCTCGGCTTTGGGCCCATGTGTATGCTGGTGCACCAGTTTCTAGTCCAGAATACACCAAAAAAATAGAAAACTTATGTGCTATGGGCTTCGATAGGGTAAGTACTTGTAGAACCTTATTACTGTAAATCTTTGGCTCGTTTAAGTGCTCTAAGAAATAAGAACAAATCTGGTTTGGTGAAACATGTTATTCTACTTAAATTAGTGATTGATTCCGGTTAACGGTTTTTAAAGCCTTTTGTTCACTTCAAGTACAAAGGCAACTTTGTTCTAGTGAAAGGAAAAGTAGGGATTCGCTATTTTAAACTATTTCCTCCAGATTTGATTTTTTTTTCCTCTCCTCTTTGCAGAATGCAGTAATAGTGGCCTTGTCTTCAAAATCATGGGATGTAGAGACTGCAACAGAATTGCTTCTGAGTAACTGAGGATAGAGAGCTGCTCATAGTCAAGTTTGCCTCTTGAGGAGCACCAACATCTGTTATTTTTAGGGTTCTGCATAAATTTCTTTTAAACTGGCATTCTTGCCTAATGATGTTACCTAGGCACCATTGGAGACTGAAAACAACAAATTCCCTGCTCTGTAAATAAAGCTAATTAAACGTCTGTGTACATTTAAAAGGGGACATACTTTTAATTTTTTTTTCTTGATAGTGTAAAAAATCTGAGCTAAGCTAAAACCATGGAGAAAACATGCTACTTTAGTGTTTAGCAGTGTAACAAGACTAGCAAGAGTTTGCTTCTGGATTTTGTTGAATAATTAAGATAATATTTTGAGTGTGTCAGGGCCATTCAAATTGTTGGTGTTGCATCACAGCTACCTTAACTGTTCTGAACATGGATCCTCTGTGCCTGTGAATTTACTTGCATGCTTGTACTTGACTTCTTAGGAGGGGAGCTGAAAAGACCACCACCATTTTAAGCGTTAGAACATTTGTAATAGGAGATTTCTCCAGAATTGAAGTTGGTGACCTCTTCAGAGCCTTTTTGTTCCTGTCAGCAGATTGGGAAACGGAATCTTTTCTCCCATTACTGTACACACTACCATTCTAATGGAAAGTTTCTCTGCATTGGGTGGGGGATGAGCTAGGGTATTATGGATGAGAGGGGGCAGTGTCCATTGCTCCATTTTTAGGTCATAGGTTTGGAATGTTTCTTCACACACATTAAGATATCCTATGTCAATAATAATGGAAAAAGGGAGCCTCCAATTTTACTACTCTTTTAAAAAACAGTACATACTGTTGCTATACTCCCAGATTTAATGAAAGGACCCAACTCAGTTTTTCATTGAATTTCACATAGATTTTTTTAACTTGATTAGATTTTTGTCTTTGAGAACTTGCCACAACGCAATCAGTGTTTTCAGTCATTTTGAGCCTAAGTTTGGGCCATTGTGGACACTGCTTTACTAGATACGTTCAGTCACTGCTCACTGCGCTTCCCCGTGTTGGCACCTGAAAACTGGGTTGGGGTTTTACTGTACATACTTCAGATGCACATAGGAATAGAAGTGTGTTATAAATCTAGCTTTCTTTATGATGTTTCTGATAGGGAATTGAAACTTCTTGTACATAGTCAGGCTTTCTATTCATATTAATGTGATCTTTCTTTCTAAGTTCCAAGTTTCAACATTATTAGTTTTGCAAGCTCAACCACAATTTGACCATTTTATGAAGCTTGAAATGGATTTATGCAGGCAGTTTGATACAGAGTAATATAATTCTTATTATACTTTCAGGACCAATGCAAAATAACAAAAATGTAATGGAATCCAACTGAATTATAGAAAGGTTGTATATTGACAGTCATATTATAAAACTTTGCTTTCTTAAGTGTTATTTATCTTAAGCTATAATCATTAAGTGTTTGGAAGATAATTTTTGAACCTATTAAGTCAGCATAACTTACTTCATTTGACTTTTGAATAATCTTGGTACTACAAGCAATAAAAGAACCATTATTAAACATTTGTAATGTTAAAAATGTGAAGGTTCTTCCAAAAACTTGTAAGGCTTTCCTAATTAATAGTAGACTCTTACAGTTTATATTAGTGTATAGTAAACACAATTTGCTGTTCTCTCCCCTGTATTTGCTTAAGCTTAAATATCCTCAGTCACATTGTTTTTTTTTTTTTGCTGTAGTTTAGTTATTTTTTAAAGATGCCAAAGGAAACAAGATTTTTCTTTATTTATTGAAATAGCTAAAACACTTTTCTTTATATTTTGAAAGGGTGGGATATGTGAAAACATACAGTTTTGTTCTATTATTGGTTAGAAAAAAATTTTAAATTGAAGGTGACTTTTTAATATTAGTAATGTTTGGGTTTAAACAAATAAACACATTTATCCTGTTTATTGTTTACCCATACTTTCAGGGTAGATGTGAGGAGAGAAAATTCAGAGGATACTAAAGTCAAGCATTGCATGCTCTGCTCTTGGAGGCAGCTGATCTTGCTTTGATTTTTTGCACACATTTGCCCATGTTGGCCACATACTTTATCTACTCATCTGACTACATTTCAGCACCCCAATGCCCAGGAAACTGGAAATAATACATGGTGTAACAAGATCATAATGGAGTCTTGACCTGGTGCTGAGGCTGATGATTCTAGTACTTAGGATATAAAGAAAGATAGGTAATGCAAGGCCAGATCTTTTCAACCCTCAACATTTAAACCCCAACATTAAAAAGCTACGCTTTCCAGTAGCGTAGCTCACCCACTGTCCTTCTCGTCCTTTGCTTTTTATTTCTGTACTGGTGGATTTAGTTTGCCAAAGATCCAAAGGCAACTGCTTTTTCCGCTAGTATTAAATGCATTTGTGAAAGGACACCCTGAGTGAAATTGTTTTTTATAATTTTCTATTTGGGAATGTCAGTTTTAACAGCCCTCAATACTAAGATATGAAGTTACACTTAGGGCAGATAGATTTGTTAGTCAGTGATCTTCCAGTAGGCTGTTAGAGTCAAGCCTGTTTCCTGCTTCTGTGCCTGAGTTTTACAAGAAGTAGTTTACAGTATGTCTTTACAGGTTAAAGAATGAATATGTTTGTGATCCAAACAAATACACAGTTACATGTATCTGAGGAACCTTGGTACTAAATTTAGATGCTCTCCAAAATGTTCAGACTTTTGATTGATTTACTTTAATACATAACACCTTCAAGGAAATGACTCATTGAGGAGAGTAATTTATGAAATAAAAGGACATTTTTTTTCTGAGAAATGTCACATTTGTGATTGTTAACACTTAAAACTATGCAAAAGATTCTTTTTAAGTATCTAAGAATTGGCAGTTAACAGGTGTTGCTTATTTATCCACTACAGAATGAAGCTTATTCCTGTTTGGGCTGCCAATGTGACAATAAGGAAGGTTATGCCTGATTTGAGCCTTGAAAGGTGTAGTTGAGGTGTTTTCAGTCTTAAGTGTAGCAACACAGCCCCTAAGAACATACCTTTGTTGTTGTAGGAATGTCAGCTGGTCCTGTGCAGAGGAGAGCTGAGCCAAGTGCACTCCTTGTGCACAGGTGCAAACTGGATAGGAAAGAGGAAGTGATCTGAACTTTATTTCATGGTCTTTTACAAATTGATGTTTTATTTATCATTTTTCCTAGTTTGAGTGAATTTGAACTCCAGGTTTTGGTACCAATTTATAAAGTAAATCCTTACTATCAGTCAGAAGGGAACTTGAAGTATTTATTGATAGTCTTTTTCTCGTGTGACAACTTCAGCCTGTCCAAATTATGTCACACATTTTGTTTGCACTGTTGCAATATAGCTTAACAGTCTCGTGGCACGGGGTAGGGAAGTGCTGACATTTCCCTTCCCCCTGGTGGGTCTTCTGTTAGTGCTTTATTGGACTGATCTAACCTCATAAACACAATCACCTAAATGGAAGTTGTGAATGTGCCACCTTTTTGCTTGGTTATTTCAACCATGCTGCTATATATAATCAGGTGTGGCACTGTTCAGTTTGGTTCTGAGGGTGAGCAGCTCTAGAGTCATTTGCACTGTGCTGTTAAACAGAGCCTGGTCTGCTCGCTGTTACCTACTTTTTACAGGCATCATAATAAAAGCTAGACTATTTCTCTGGGGGAAAAGAGACTTATTTAATGTAATTTAAAGACTTTTCCAATAGAAAATGAAAACTATTGAAAATATCTATTTTTTAGCTTTCAGCAATTGTGATGGTGCTTTGTAGTGGTGTCTGCTGGAAGTCTACTGCCATTGTAGGGATTCTCATTAACCTCACCAAGAAAGAACCTTGCTTGTCAGCTGCTCTAGATCTCTAAACAATGTTAGTGGTGGTAAATTCTGTAGGAGGGTTTATTCTGAGCCATTCACTTCCTGTATGGGGAAAATGCGTGGGTTACCAAAATACCATTGAAGTAGGGTGGGCTGTGGGTGGAGGGCTGGGAATTTGTCTTGAGAAATAAAAACTACGAAACACTTTTGTACACAACTGATTTTTTAAAAAATAAACACATTTTTAAAGATGTTGAATTTTTCCCCCTTATTGGGAATTCTTAAAAATAAATGCATGCATGTTTTCCCCTGAACATGATTCATATCTTATTTCTGGCTATTCATCTCTAGACAACAGGGAGCTCAAGGTAGATACGTGTTGGTGGCACACAGGATAAAAGCTCTAAAGTTGTATCAGGTTTATGGCTGAAATTAGCAAGCTTTTCTAAGTAGAGCATCATTTGGTTAATTTCTAATCCAAATGCTAAAGAAATGCAGTGCTTGGAGCTACATTTTGCTGTTTCCACATGTACTCACGAGTGCTCTCAGGTTTCGTGGTGCTCGGGCAGGAGGAGCATGAGTTGTTTCATAAAGTGCCCAGTTTTTGTTTCCCTTGAGGCTGCAGAGCCAGAACTATAACAACCCTCAGTTTCATCAGGGTAAAATAGTTGCCCAGTATTTTGCAGTATGGTAATGATGAAATGAGCTAGGAGCCAGGCATTTATTAACCTATTAGCGGTTCTTGCTTACAATCCTACTTAAGAGCCGGAGACCTACCGGATCATGTTTCAAGGCCAGGCTGGGCAGAGGAGTTGGAGTGGTCCAAATCTGTAATCTAGTTGCCTGGGAGGCTAAGTTTGGCCCATTACTGTCCTGAGCCAGCCTGCTGGTTAAAAGTTGGCTACAATGCCACCTAACTCAGTAATGACATGGTTGTATGTGTTCACTACAGGGTGAGCACAGAGCATGGGTGCTGTTGCCAGCAGCATGATCATTAGCAGTATGGCCACCACACAGTCCAGCCGGGGCACAAGCCTACCTCAAGGGGAAAAGCAGGATTGGAAGCAAACTTGAGTTCCCCTACCCCTTTCTTGTAAATGTTTAAAAAAATGGAAATGTTAAATGGAAGAAATCCTAGTAAATAAGTATACCCATCTCTAAACTCTAGGCAAAGTTTTTTTTTTTTTTTAAACAAGGTTTTTGTTCTATGTGTTATGTATTTAACATTTCTTCACTTGTCTTCGCTCGGTAATGAGTTTTTAGGTTGGGCGTGGGCGGCTGCACAGAACCATTGAGGAAATGAGTGGTTTTGGTGATAGTTTGGAGATTGCCACTCACTGAAGCAATTGCTTTGGGACTCTGCAAACCAGAACAAGGATTAATGAAGACTAGATAAAAGTAACAATTACCAAATTAATGTGGGTGAAATGAAAGAAAATAGGCTGTATGTAGTAAAAGATGAAGACTGAATCCACTGAGAATAGTAAAGAGGAGAAGTACCTGTAGTACAATGAAGTTAAAATTATGCCTTTTATTTTTGAGATGTAAACTGAGCAGGGTGCTCACAACTCTAATCCTAGCTACTCAGGAGACTGAGAAATGAGAATCCTTCCGGGCAAAGAATAATGAAGACCACCAGGAACAAATGCCAATGAAAGTGCTACACTTGAGAATCAGGTTCTTCAGCAAATGAGAAATGAAATTTTAATTCTTGAACACAGAAGAAGCGAATGACAGTATGGGAACTACAGGATTCTGGGGAGAGTGAGCAGTGTGGTATTTTGCTTGTGTAAATTGTGAACAGCTTACAGCAAAGAATTTAGAAAAGGTATGTACACAGATTTTCAAAGCAGTACCTAGGTTTTATTGATGAAGCTGTATGAGCAAGAAACTAAGGAACTACAATAGAAATTAAGCAGTTAGTCTAAAGCCACAGGCTGGATCTCATTTTCATCTGATCTTAGAAGGTAAGCAGGATTAGGCCTGGTTGGTGCTCAAAGCGAGCAATTCAAGATAATGAACACATGGCAACTTTGACATCAGCTCAGTACAGCTCAATGATACCTCATGTCTATGGAGGCTGACATTGCAAGGAAAAAAAAAAAAGCCATCCCTGGTGGCTCACCACTGTATTGTTAGGGAACCCACTTTGAAGCTGGCCCAGGCAAAAAAAGTCAGTGGGACTCCAATTAACCACCCAAAAGCCAGAAGTAGAGCTGTGGCTCAACTGGTTGAATGCTAGCCTTGAGGAATAAAAAGTTCAAGGGTAGTATCTAGGTCCTGAGTTTAAGCCCAATGAAAGAGAGAGAAAAACACTAAAACCTTGGAAAAAGACTAAAGTTTACAGAAGCTACTATCCACCTAAGATGGGAAAGGCATTTGAGGAATATAGTCCGTTTTCATGTATGATTATCTTTCACAACCAGAACGCAGAAAATGTGAAAATTTTCCTTCCTAAGAGGTCTTCAAATCTTATAAAGAATTCAAAGTCATGGCCAAATAACCCTAATGGGACCCCAGTTTGCACATATAAGGGGAGTACATTTTTGCGTCACCTCCTTATTGAGTCTTTTGCCATACACATTCCTGTGCACCTGAATATAGTTCAATTGTATTGAATAATAACACCTAAAACAACTGCATGCACCAACTCGACTGGAACAGCACGGCTAAACCTGAAGAGCCATGTGGCAGTGAAGGTGCTCAGTGGTAGAGTGCTTGCAAGCATGAAGCCCTGAGTTTGAATCCTCAGCACCACATAAGCAGAAAAAGCCGGAAGTGGCGCTGTGGCTCAAGTGGTAGAGCACTTTAGCTGAAGAGCTGAGGGGCAGCACCCAGGCCCAGAGTT